GAAGAGCATTCCTGGTCTAGGGGACAACAGGCCTGGAGGCAATTTTGGGAATCTGCCAGGGAGGTGGGCTGTTCCAGCTTTTGATCGGCTCAGAGCCAGCCCCTGAGGCTGGCCGGGCAGGAGGAGGTTGAGCTAAACCCCATCCTAAGCTTGGGCTTTGGGGTAACTACTCGGTTTTGCTCACCCCTTCTTGGCGCTGCCTGAGCCGTCACCCTACCAGCCCTCCTCGCCACCCCCTGCCAACACTCCCCCTCTCTGGGATCCAGTTCCGGGTGGGTGGGGGCTGGGCTGGAGAGCAGGCAGCGCCTGGGGCAGGGGAGATGAGAAAACCAGAAAGTGGGGAAACCTGAGCCAGCAACGCTGAGGCTGGGCTGGCCCAGGCTTGCTCTGCCTGTGAGGCCCGGGAAACCGGTCCCCCGAGAGACCGCCTGAGCCCCGCGGCTTGCTGCCTTAGTCCCCACCTTCATCGGGGGCACGGTGGGGCTCGGCTCTCAAAATCCCACAGGATGCACAGGTCAGAAGAGCAGTTTCTCAAAGTTATCTTTTGAACTGGCGTCCCCATCTCAGCCTGATCACTGGACAGAAGTGAAGGGGGTGGACAGCTAAAGAGTGACAGGCAGCAGGGTTTCGGGGCCACACTGCTGTCCCCCACACCCCCCACGCACAGCCTGCAAGAGCCAGAAGGAAAGGAAACATCAAGAGCACGACCAGAGACAGGCTGACCCGGTGCGGGGCTGGAGCTGCATCCAGCATCTTCATCCAGGGTGCTGGCCAGGACAAAGGGGGCCCCTCCTTCCTATCACCCCATGTTGGACTTTGCGGTCTCTCTGAAGCTCTGGAAGATGGAGCCATGCACCCAAGCACCAGCCCAAGGTTTCACTGTCAGGATGTCATTCAAGGGCCTGTCTTTTAGGTGCTCAGAACCCCTCTGGGAATGGAGATGGGGCTGCCTGGGGAGGGGCACCCAGAGGCAGGGTCTAGGGGAAACAGACCTGGGCCTGACCATTCTTCCCCCAGGGTGCTTTGCACCCAGGAGGCTGCAGGCCATCTGAAGCAGAGGCTGCCTGGGACTCAGCAGGGATGGAGCCCTGTGACATTTTGGTGCAGCAAGGGCACAGCAGCTGAGCTCACTCAGGGTTTCCTGGTTCAGGGAGTATGCCTGGCAAGGTTTGGGTGGGCAGGGGTTGGGGGAACCATTCTTGGTGCTGGGAATTGACAGCCATACAACGTGCAAGGCAAGCCCCCTACCTATTGCTCCAGCCCCAGGACTCTGTGGCTTTGCAAGGGAAGACGGAGGACTCAGGGCAGCCAGGAGTATTGGGAGCTCGTAGACAGGTCAGAGGAGCCTAGAAATAGAGTAGGCCTGGGAGTCAGCTCTCTGGGCTCTTGGCTGCGTTCCCTGTTGCATCTAGCACTATGGGGATTTGCTCTCTTATTCATTCAATAAAGATTTTCTGAGCTCCGTAAGCATCCTGTGAGCCTCCTGCACTTCTAGCCAGTGCCCAGCACCCCCTAACTCTCAGCTCCACGTGGACCCTGTGGCCTGGCCCTTCCCGCTGATTCTTCTACAGAAGGGATGCTGGTCTGGACGTGACAGTTCTCAGCTCACCACTCACTCTCCTCTTCCTCCTCCGTGCAATGGGGACAGAGGGTGTGTGTCTTCGCATGATTGTGAAATGCCTGGCTGTGACTAACCATAAATCCTGCAGCTATGCCAGGCTCCCGACCCAGCACCCAGGACATCGAGGAATGACCCTAGTTTCAAGGGGGTATTTATTTTTGTTTGGTTTTGATTTCTTTGAATTTGGTGGGGGAGGCATAGAGGTACTCATGGACAATCCCTGGTTCAGTGCTCAGCGGGCTCTCTCATGTACTGGGAGTTCTAACTGGCAGTAGTTGGGGACCTTATACAGTAGCAGGGATGGGTCCAGGATTCTTGCATGAAAAGTATGAGCTCCTCACCAAATTAGATGGGAACATAACATAGAAGCTAAGTAAGCACAATAAACACAACATTAACACAGAAGGCTCAACTAGCAACAACAACTTAGGAAACCCTCAGACAAGGACTTCATGAACTCACAAATTTTCTTTTACTGAAGTATTTTTCAAGACTTCCATTAGCCATTTAGTTGTAACAAGCAATATAAAATAAATTATTTTGTGCCTGCTAAGAGGGCAGGATTGGGGGGTGGTTGGGAAAATGGGGACAATAGTGGAAGGTAGGTGACACTGGTGGTGGGATTGGTTGTTGGTATGTTGAATGCCTGTAACAGACACATCATGAACAACCTTGTAAAGTGTGGTGTTTAAATAAAGGAGAAAAAATGACAAAAAATAAGTCTAAAGGATTTTATAAACTGAAAAACAGAAAGAAAGAAAGAAAGAAAGAAAGAAAGAAAGAGTGTGTTCCTGCCCACTTTGAGTCATCTCCCTGGTCATCAAAGGGTCTCTGGACTCTTGAAATTGAAGTCAAAACTCAGGGAAGTCAGGCACTATTTTTCTCAATAATTATATCTAATAACATGTATACGATGCCTCAAAATTCTCAGCTCAAGGTCGGAGAGATGGTACAGGTGCTAAGGGCCTTTCCTACAACTCACCTCAATACAATTCCAAGCAATGACTCCCAAACACAGAACCAAGAGTAGCTCCTAGACTCCAACACTTCTGGTCTTGTAACCCCCAGACTCCTGTCTAACCCTCAAATCTACAAAATTCTCAGTTTTCCAAGATCTAGGCTTTGGTGCAGGATGGATTCATTGCTGCGGTGACAATGACTTTAGTTCTATTGATTATTCAACCTCCTCAAATTGTTTAGGACAGAAATGGCATTTTGCTGGGTGTAGTCAGGCTCTGCTCCAATTCTCTCCCCCCTCCCTGTCTCCTTCCCCATCCTCTTGACAGGGAAGAAAAGACAGAGGGTCCCTGGGGTCTGGGCCTACCCTGTGTGTCTGCGCGGAGCTGCGTGGGCAAATCCAGGGAGTGTCTTTCCTATCCAACCCAGCACCCAGCCAGGTCCTGGAAGTTCTGCTTTAGTGACCGTCTGGGTTATGGGGTTTGAGGTACTGACAGCGACTGAGTTATGAGGAGACTGTAGGTCTGGGGTAGAGTGGTGGAAAGGAAGATACTGGAGCCTTCGTGATATTGGCCTACCATGCTCTGGTGATGACAGGGAGCTCAGGGGTGATGTAGTACAGAGGAGGGGGGTATAGAGGGAGGATTTTCCATTTCAAGTGAGTTGTGAAGGAGAGGAGCTGTCACTCCAGGCTGAGGGCTCCTCACTGCAAATGCGTAGCTTTTGCTTGGCCATTGCACTCACTCCACATGAGTCAGGACACAGGATCCCCAATAGGCCTACATTGAAGCAAGCACCCACTAGTGGGCTAGCCCACTGACAGACGTCTTCTGGGGGAGCAATTCTGTTAGCCAGGAAGAGGGGAGGGAGAGAAGGAAGAAAGGAAAGAGGAGGGGGGCTGGAGCAATAGTATAGCAGAGTGTTTGCCTTGCACACAGCTGACCTGGGTTTGATCCCGGCACCCCATATGGTCCCTGAGCTCTGCCAGGTGTACTTTCTGAGTGCAGAGCCAGGAGTAAGCTCTGAGCACATGGGGTGTGGCCGAAACCACTCCCCACCCCCCAAAAAAAAGAAGGAAGAGAGGAGGGAAGAGGAAGAAATGGAAGAGAGGGGGTTGGGAAAGAGTGATGGGAAAAAGGAGGAAAAAAGGAAGGTAGGGGGACAGAGGAGTAAGAGGGGGAGGATAGGAAGGGAGAGGGGAAAGAGAGAGAAGGAAGAGGGAGATGAGATAGGAGGGAAGAGCAGGAAGGGGAGGGGTTGGTGGGGGGAGAGAAGAGAGCCAAGTCCCTTGGGACCTCAGAGGAATGCTGGAGAGGGGGGCAGGGCCAAGAGATCTTGACTGGCCAGTCGGAGCCCTGGGGATTGGGTTGAGTGGCAGGTGCCTTCCCGAGGTCAAGGTGGACGTTTAACTCAGTTGCTTTGCCCTGGGCTCATAAGAGGCCATTTAGCAAATGTCTCTTTTAGAAGCAGAGGCCAGCCTATTGGTTTCTCTGAGGTATGGAGCTACAGTCGGTGGCTCTCTAGGGATGCTGGCTTGAAATAAGGCTGGCGGTTGAGGAGATCACGGGAAGTTGATTGGCTGGACAGAACGGTGAGGCTGGGCTGCGGAGACCTGGCTTGGGTTGGAGGCAGCGGACAGGTCCAGCCGTGCCGGCCGTCCCAGGGGCTGCACCGCCACCTGCTGAGCGGCTAGGGCAGTCCTGGGTCCCGCGCTGCGGGGTTCACGCGCGGGGCCAGGCGCCTCCAGCAGCGCGTGGAAAGGAAGGACACGGCTGGGGGTGCGCAGGTGAGCGCAGGCTCGTTGCTCCCCGGCGCGCCTGCCCTTCCCGCCAGGGAGTTGAGTGCCCGGGTAAACACCAGGCGCGGTGTGCGCGGTGTATCCACGGAGAGACAAAGCCGGGGCGGGGCGGGGGCGCCGCCCGCAACGCCGGGCGGGGGCGCAGGGTGCAGAGTGGCCTCCCCCGGCGCGGGCTGTCCCACAGCCCGGGAGCCCCGCGCCCCGCGCCGTGGACAGGTGGAGCGAGGGCGGGGCGGTGGCCGGGCGGGTCCCGCCCCGGGGGTGGGGCCGGGCGGGGCGGGCGGGGCGGGGCCGCGCTATGCAAATGTCGCCCACGGGCGGCCAATTGCGGGCGCTCCCCGCGCGGCTCCCAGCGCCCCGTCCCGCCGGCGGCCGCGAGACCCGAGCGAGCGAGCAAGCGGGCGGCCGCGGTCCGGCGAGTCCGAGCGCAGCGCCGCGCCGCGCAGGGCCAGGGCGCGCCTGGAGGAGCGGCACAGCCCCGCGCGGCCGCCCGGCCCGCTCCAGCACGCAGCCGAGCTCCGCGCCATCGGGCCGAGGCGAGCGCAGCTCTCGGGAGCCGAGCGCGCGCCGTCGCCCGCACCGCGCGCCGGGGAATGCGCCCTCGGCGCGCCGGCCAGGGGGCGCCCGCAGCCCACCCGGGGGGAGGCGGCCCCAAGCGCCCCTGAACCTTCCCATGGCCCGGGCGAGGGCCCGGGGCCTCGGCTGCTAACGCGCTCGAAGCCCGCGGAACCGGGGAAGCCGGGGCCGCGGCGCCCACCCCGGCTCAGGCGCAGCGGCGAGAGGGCGCGGGCAGGGCCATGGCCCCGGGGGTTCGCTAGCGCGGGTCGGCCCGACCCGGAGCCAACGTGCAGTCGCCGCCGCCCGGGCGCCCAGGCCCCGTCGCCGCGGAAGAGGTGAGTGCGGCGGGAACCGGGCGCGAGCGGGCCGGCGGCCGGGCCACCCCGCGATCCCTCGGGGAAGACCCGCGGCACTGCAACTCTGCGCAAGTGGCGGGGCGCGGGGAGCCGGGGGGCTGCCCGCGGACGCAGGGGCCAGCGCACCGGAGTGGGCACTGTACCTGTTCCAGCGGCTCCGGGGCGACACGCGGGCTTGACGGTCTGATGTGACCTGTGTGGTCAGCAGTGTGCAAAGCAACTTTTTCCCTTAAGGGTTTGGGTGGGTGCTTCCAGACACCCCCACCCCACGTTCCGGAGCTGGAGCTCCGGTCCGCCTTCTCACCCAGCACTCTCTCCCACTAACGCCTCGGGCGGCGCTCTTCCCAGGGGTAGGTGCGCCTGCTCTGCCTCAGTGTCCCTCCACGTGGAAGCTCTCCTAGATCAACAGGGCTGGAAGATTGCAATATTGCAGCCCCCCCCCCCGCCGCCCCCTTGCTCCCCACTCTGTGACAGCCCCTTGGCCCCAGGGCCAGCTTGGGGCTGCTTCTCCAGCAGGGTGCTTTGCTTGGGCTAGGGGCCCAGCCTACGTGCGGTGGACGTGAGCTGGCACCGACCTGGGGCAGGCTGGGGCTCCGTTGGCGGTGCAGGCAGGGATCCTCAGGGCTTGATGAGCTCCCCTAGAGCGGGAAGGACCCAAGATTGTCAAGGTGGCTCAGGAATGAGGCCGGGCTGGCAGGAGGGGTCAGCTGGAGCTCCCCAGGAGCCACAGAGGGCTGGCTGGCTGAATAACTTCTCTAATTCTTGACATAACTGTGCTGCTCATACCAGTCCAGGAACACCAGGGAGAGGGAGGTGAGCTGAGGCACTCCTGAGCCCTCCAGGAGCTGAGCCAGGGGTTGGGGTGCGGGGGCTCCCTCCTCCCAAATTAACCCTGCAGGTCTCAGCAGCCCCTCTTCTGTGCACAGAGGGAAAACTGCACAGGGGCGGGGGAGCAGCGGGCCCTGCTGGGGGCTCTGACCCCTGCAGGGAGGTGGGATGGAGTGGGATCTCTCCTCAGTCTGCACAGGGAGCGTGCCTGGAGCAGTGCGCTGTGAGGGGGGGAGGGCGCACGGGGGCCCACCGTACCTCTGTTCCCCTTCCTTCCAAGGAGCCAGGCCCAGCAACGTGAGGTGCTGGTGGCGGGAGAGAGGGCCCCAGCCCTGCCCTAGTGGGCAGACCTTGAAGGGGAGAATGGAGCCAAGCCCAAGTGACCTTGACTGGGAAACCCCCACCACAAAAGGGGGGTTTTCAACCCCAGATCTGCTTCCTGGTCCATGGGGTGTTCTTCGGGGAGGGGGCAGCCAGGAGCGAGGAAGGAGTGGGGGGGTGGGTACGGAGTTGGGGGGCGTCGGTGGGGGTCTGGGTAGGGACCGAATGCCTCTCCATCATTCCTTTCTCATCCCTTTCCGGGCTCCCCCAAGCGCCTGCCCCTGCCTCACAGCCTTCCTCCTGGCCCTGCAGGCTGTCCTCCCGCCACCCCAGCCCCCCACTCCAAGCCTAAAAGGTCTGGATCAAGCCGGACAATCGGACCACCTAGCCCCCTGCTCCGTGCCCAGGTGCCGCCAGACCCCCTCCGCTGGCCGCCCCTTCCCTGTACCCCTTGCCAGCCCCAGCTCCTCGTTTCTTTGTTCCAGCGACTCTCCTCCGTCCCTCCCTTTCTCCTCCCTCTCTCCTCCCTCCCGCCTGCCTCCCTCCCTCGCTCCCTCCCGGCAGCCTTCTTTCCTCCTCCTCTCCTTCCTGGTGGGCTCCCAGGTGGCGGTGGCAGTAGCAGAGGCTGTTCCTTCTCTATCCACCCACCGGGGCTCTGCTCCACCGGGGGTTTCTTTGGGACTGGGGCTGAGTAGAAGGCGTTTAGGGCCTGGCAGAGGGGAAGTGAGTTTAGAAACATCCTTCTTTCCCCCTTTTCCTCCTCTTCCTTATCCCTCTCTCCATTCACCTCCTTGCTGCTAAAGAGGGGGACTGGACTTGGTCCTGAGGCTCTAACTGACTTGAACATCCCCCCTCCACCCCTTTAAAGGGCCAGAGCACAGGGGGAGGTCTCTGGAGGGGACTGGGGGACTGCCACTCTCCTGGACACCTTGGAATACTCAGGTGCTTGTGGCTGGTGACTCTGACCGGCCACCCTACAGATGGATGCAGGAGAAATGAGGTCATAGGGAAGAGAAGTGGGGAGGTGAGTCAGCCTGAGCCCCCTGACACGCAGCATCACAGTCCTCCAGGGGACCCGGACGGCGTCTTGCCCTCCCCAAGCCAGGACCCTGTCTCCCTACTTCCTGGAGCCCCACCCCACATGCACGCAGGTCAAGTTCTTGAGCAAACACACGCTTCTGAGGGTGTGTGTGCGGGCCGGCGAGTGTGGACGTGTGTGTGTGGAGTCACCACTATCAGTGGGGCCTCCCAGGTGCACCCCAGGGTGCTGAGGGTGCGAGGATGCACTCCCTGCTGGCCCCTCACCAGAGCCCGTGCTCAGCCAGCATTAGCTTTGTGCCCCACGAGTCTGAGGGGAGCGGCTGGTTCTGCATCTCCCCTCCCCCTGCCAGCCTCCCCAGGAGGGAGCATCTGTGATGGGGGATCTTGAAGGAACCAGAGAGATGGATCAGGCACAGAGAGTGTTCCCAGCATGGGAAGCTGCACCCCTGTCAGGAACCTCTGGACTGAGGGTGTGGCCCCAAGGGGTGAGGGGACCTGGGCTTGGCCCCAGCATGTGTCGGCCACAACAAGGGACTCGTCCCAAACAGTCCCCCTCACCTCCTCCTGAGGAGGCTCCTCAGCTGGCCTGCCTCTCCATCCTGGGGAGAAGGGGGTGATTAGGGGACATCATCATTCTTGAGGCCCCCACTCCCAGGCTCTGATGTTGGGGGGGGGGAGTTGGCGCCGGTTTTTGCCGGGAGGGAGCAATATGTTCTGACAACTGGTGCTGGGCTGCGTTTACCCAACAGCCAGCCTGCCTGGGGAGACAATATTTGAAAAACATAGCACTGAAAGTTGGACCTGCCATGGAGGTGCGTGGGATTTCTGCTGGGGCCCCTGCTGCTGCCTCAGCCCCTGCCTGTGCCCCCTGGCCCTCCTCACTCCCCTTCTTCGCCCTCTAGAGGCAGAGAACTGCAGCTTGTCCAGGCAGGAAGTCCTGCCATTTGTCTTACTTGGATCCTTCCTGCTTTGATTTCCGGGAAAGCTTTTCTATGCACTCCTTTCCTTATTGTCTGTAGTCTGCTCTGGGCTGTCTGTGCATGTCGTACTCATCCCCTACTCTCTTCCATGCCCTGCACCCCACTCATCAGCTCCAGGTTCCCCTGTTCGTGGAAGGGAAGTTTGACGAGAGGAGACAGGCTTGGGCCCATCTCTCCCTCCTTCCTTGTCATGGGGGAAGGAAGGCACAGTCCCCAGGCCGTGTGGGGAGGTGCAGAGGGATGGGCCTGCTGAGGCCTGGAGGAGGGCACTGGCTCACCTGCTTGCGCTGCACTCTTGAGACTTAGGGTGCTGTGGACAGAGAAGGGGTGAGCCTCCAGGGGCTCCTGCGAGCTGTGGGAACCTCTGGCTGCTGGGCCTTCAGGCTTATCGATTGCACCTCCCAGCCTCAGGCAGGCATGGGAAGGTGGATGAGACCTGTCCATGGGGCATTCTTGACCCAGGCTGTGGATGGGAGCAAGAGATACCCAGCAGCCTCCCTTAGGCACCGGGGACCCAGCTGCGGGGGGTCGGCAGGAAGGCAGAATGTCCTCTTCCGTCTCACACTGGAATCTTGGTTTCCTTGCCCAGGTGTCCAGACAGCGGATCCCGCCCTCTGGGCCCCAGGCCCCTGCCACAATGCCTGCTGCTGGCCTCCTCCTCTGGGCTTCCCTGCTGACCGGAGCTTGGCCAGCCACCCCCCTGCAGGATCACCTCCTGGCCACACCCCGGGTACGGCTCTCATTCAAAGGTAAGTGGCTGCTTTCTTGCTTCCCTGCGTCATTTTCTGTTCACAGCATTTGGGCTTGTCGTCCAGGAGAGAGAAGAGAGATCAGGGCAGAGAACAAGACAGATAACTCTCGCAGGCGCTTGGACAGTCTTGGCTGTTGGGCAAGGAGGGAGAGACAGGGGAGGCTGGGAAGGGCTGGAGTTGAGACCACCGAGCTCCAGGGCACACCCCAACTCTGGGCCTTCTAGAGTCCGAACAGGGGTCTGGGCCTGGGGGTCTCGGGAACTGAGTGCTTTGTGTGGCCTCTGGGAGGTTGAGGGGTGTGAAGGCCCTTCCTGGTCCAGGTCTGCTCCTGCCACAGTCCTGGGGTGCAGGGAGAGGGCAGGCACTGGTGGCCACAGGAAGCTGCAGGAGTGAGGTCTGCTTTGGGGGTGAATCGTGGGGAGGGGTTAGTGTCTCTTGGTGTGAGGGACTGAGGGGCTTGGGGAGTGAGCCGTTGGTTTTGAGTGGAGGGAGAGAAAGAGAGAGAGAGAGAGTGTGTGTCCCACTTTAAGGAGAGCTTTGCTTTGTGAGAGGCCTGAACTCACCAATGAGCTCGCTGCCTTGGAAGTCACCAGAGGGTGTTAGTAATGGGTTGGGGACCCACACACTGAGGGACTAGTCCCCTCACACCATCATCTTGACCCTAACCCACTGGGCAGGGAGCACGCAGGACACACCCTGTACATGGGTGGCTCTGGCAGTAGTAGACGCCATGAAGGTGTGGGGGGTGGGGTGGGGGGGTTGGGGGGGTGGGTATGGTTGTGTGCTTGCGTAGGAAGAGTCGACCCCTGGCTGGGGTGAGGCATAGCTGTGGGTCCTGCGCTGTAGGTCCTGCAGGAGAGGGGGGAGGGGAAGGCAGGAGGCACAGGGCTGCTGCGTGCTCAGCCTAACCTCTGCTGGCCAGAGTTTACTTTGTCCAGCCGCCTGCCTTGGGTGGAGTGGGCTCTGCCCTGACTGGCCAGATTTCCGGGCACACATATTGGGGTGGAAGACTGTGCTGACCTTCCTTTCCTCAAGCTTGGCTGAGGCCCAGACTCCCCCCCAGCCCCTGTTCTCATGACCCCTGGCAGAGCCCCTCGCCTGGCCTCATCTCACCTCCCAGCTTGATGGAAGTCAGGGCTGAGTTTCTGAGCCTGTGTCTGGAAGAAGTCCTGGACAGGGCCTGCTATGGCCAGTTTGTGTTGCAAAAGCTCACCGTGCCCTTCAGCCAGAGTTATTTATTGTGCGATGCCCCTGCCCTTCACTGCTGGGACTCCTCAGAGGAGCCAATTAAATCTTGAAGGGGCTGGTCCTTCCTCTTACTGCTGTCCACAGTGCCCCCCGCCTGCCCCAGACCTGGAGCCCAGTCATCCACTCTGGGTGTTATTTTTGTCAGCTCCCTGGGGATCCGCGAGGGGAAGTGGGAGGGGTGAGGTGTGAGTGAGGAGGTCCTTTGAAGCCTCAGACCTCCAGGGCTTTTGTTCCCTTTTCCAGAGTGAGAAACCGAGGCTGGGGCCCACGCAGAGCCAAGGTCAGGTAGGAGACAGAGGAGAGGCCAGAAATAGAGCCCAGAGTCCCGGGCCGGTCTGTGCCCGACGCCCACAGCAGTCAGGTTGATTCCTCTTGATGAGCTCTGAAGCCAACACCCACCGTGACTAAAAGACCAGCTTGTTGGCAGGCAGCCCGTGGCGCTAATGGGTGCGGCCACCAAGCTCTGCCTGTGCCCGCACCCCAGCGGGTCACCCTGTTCGCACTGACCTTTTCTGTTTCCCACTTGATCTCATGGCCTCCTTTTACGCTTCGATTTCCCTTTGGTTTAGCAGATACTTGAGAACCTGTGGGGCCCCGTCATGGGGGCTTTGCACCAAATAGGATGGACTGGGTGTTCCTAGTCAAACTGGTTGAAAGACCGACAATCCTGGGGCCAGGGAGACGCTCTAAAAGGCAGCTGACCTGGGTTTGGTCCCCAGCATCCCATTTGGTCCTCCAAGGAGGACCACCAGGAGTGATCCCTGAGTGCAGAGCCTGGAGTAACCCTGAGCATTGCCAGGTATGGCCCCAAAACAAACAAACAAAACCCCCAAACACCCTAGAGAGATAGTTCAGTAGTCTGGAGTCGGAGGCCAACGGTCAATCTTCAGCACCACATGTTTCCTGGGATACTGCCAGGAGTGACCACCAAGCCACCAAGTGCCAGATATGCCCCCCTTCAAAAAAAACCAACACAAAACATACAATGGACTCCCAGCTGACCAGTGCCAGCACTTAATACTATGTTCCCAGCCCTGAGTGTGTTCCTATACTGGGTGGTCTCAGGCAGATCTGGAGGAAGTGACCCTTGGTGAGAAGTGGACATGAGGCCAGACTGGGTCCCACAGCCCAGGGACTGAGGGAAGGGGCATCTCCCTTGGTACACACAAGGGCCTCCCTGAAGATTGCTTTCTCCTTATACTGGGGTTCCGGGGTGCATGCCTTAGTTTCTTCATCTGTGCCTTGGATGACTAGCAGCTGGCCTTCAGTTCTCAAAACCTAGCCTCCCTGTCCCAGGTCCAGCTGCTGTTGGGAGGTGCTAGTTCCTGTCTGGTTGGGCTAGAGGGTCTGGCCTGAGGGGCCACGCTGCCTGGGGCAGATAAAGGAACAAAGGCAGGAACTGGGCCAGGCCTGGGCTTGCTGCCTGCCCATCCGCCTGGGCACCCCAGCTGGGCGTAAAGCCAACAGGGGTAAGGGAAAAGGTGCCAGGGGTTCCTCCTCGGACCCTCCCCTGAGCCTCTATCAGCAGCTCACCAGGATCAAGCAGAGGTGAGGGCCAGGTGAAGAAGCTTTCCTGCAGTGGTGTTGCAGAGTTGTGGGACATTCTTTCAGAGCTGGCTCCAGAGCCGGTAGTTTCTTCTCTCTCTCTCTCTCTCTCTCTCTCTCTCTCTCTCTCTCTCTCTCTCTCTCTTTTGGTGGGAAGCACACCTGGCAATGTCATGGGGTTACTCCTGTCTCCACACTCAGGAATTACTCCTGGTGGTGCTTGGGGAACCATATGGGATGCTGGGGATTGAACCTGGGTCAGCCTCATGCAGGGCAAGCCCCTGCCCTGCTTATATCACTCCAGCCCCAAGAGCCTTGAGGCCAGAGAACCTGTGCCCTTTCCTTGCCTGACCTGGAGCTGCCTCAGCCCCAGGCACTGGCCAGGTCTGGAAGGAAAACTTCTTCCCCCCAGCCCAGAAGCCCTAAGCTCTGGGGCATCCCGTCTGCTGTGGCAGGCAAGGTCTGAGGGCCTCGCCAAGTCCTTTGTTCTGTTCGGCTGGGGGAATGTTTACTTTTTCCCAGGAAGCCGCCCCCACTATATACACTGCTGCCTGGACTGACTCTGGCCGCGACCTGGGGGATGGAGGCCTTGAGAGGTGTAGGGTGAGAGAAGGGATCTTGTGATGACATGAGGTGACTGGGATCCTAGGGAAATGGAGGCAGGAGTAAGAGTAGGGAGATGGGGCACATTACCTTGCCAGGCGAGATCGGGGAAGATAAAGTGGCAGATGTTGGGGCCAGAGAGTTAGTACAGCAGTTCAGGCATTTGCCTTGCAGGTGACCGACCCAGGTTGCATCCTCGGTGTCCTGTGTGATTCCCCTGAGGAGTGATTCCTGTATGCAGAACCCTGAGCATCACCGCATGTGGCCCAAAACTGAAAATGGCAGATGTGCCCGTGAGGAAACCAAGCAGTGGCCCCCTTGGGTCCTGAGATGGGGTCTCCCTTAGGTTCCTGGGAGGCCGGGGGATGGGGTGGCAGACCTGAGGCTCCTGGCCACCCAGGAGCAGCCTGGTCCAAGACTGGGAAATGCGGGCATGGGGCTGGGCGAGGCTTCCAGAACACTGCGTGCCAGCCTTCCCGGACTCATGGCCCAGGGGATGCCTGGGCCGGCGCCGGGCCGCCTGCTGGGGCCCTCCTGTCTGCTGAAGCAGAAGCTCTAGGGATGGGCATCCATGCAGCCCCTGGCCAGCGCCCTCGCCCTGCCACTGCGCAGGCTCCAGAGAGGAAAGGCTTGCCCGCTTGTTTCCACCTCCTCTGACTTCAGCCTCAAGGTCTGCTTGCTCAGTGGGGACCTTGCTCTGCAGGGCCAGGGTGGGTGGGCAAGTACTGGTTACTGCTCCCCACCCACACTCGGCCCCGCCTCTGAGCGATCGGACATAGTGGCCAGCATTCCCGCTGGCAAGTAGCACCAAAGAACCCAAGTCCTGGGTTTCTAGGTTAGGAAATCATGAGATTTGGAGGTTAGGGGGGCCTCAGTCCGGGTCCCCTGAAGGGGGACTGCGGGTAAATGTGGGTGGGGGGTAGGGATGTCACTGGCAAGAATCGCCCCACCCACTGCCAGGCTCCACTTTACAGAGCAGGGTGGGGGAGGCAGAGGACCCTTGGACCCCCAGTGTACTGGCTCGCCTGGAGCTTCAGACTGCAGAGGAGGCAGGAGGGGAGCAAGCGGGTGGGTCCCTGGAGCTTGGAGGCAGGGTGGGCAGGGTCAGGTGGGATTGGAAGCAAATCAAGGGGGGTGGGGTATCCAGGCAGAGGCAGGAAGACCTAAGTGTGAACTTGAGCCCAGATGCCTACATTTGGGAGCTCGGTTTTCCTGGAAATGGGGTACTACCTCCCTCCTGACAGGGACTTGGATGTGGCCAGTGGGAGGGCCTGGGACAGGGTGTCCCTTCATCCACTCACCAGGAAGTGGTTCCACTGAGAACCTGCCTGAGGCCCAGCCAGGTCCAGCTGAGCTGCGACGGGGACCGCCACCGACGGCCTCAGCAGCGCAGGCCTTGTCTCGGCTCCCTGGCACCATGCCCGCCCCTCCCTCCCTGGCTCCAGCTTCCCTTGGCACTGAGCGAGGAGCTGGTGCGTGCTCAAGGAGTAAATCATGTTCCTTGGCAGCCCCCGCTGCTTCGTAATCGTAAAGAATTTAAAGAGAAACCGCCAGATAAAAACCTTATCCCCAGCCCTTACGGGCATCTCAACCCATGGCCA